GTGGACAACGGGCAGGATGTGGATGAAATCAATCCAGTGCTGTGGAATGGCAATGGCATTTTCATCGCCAAGGAGTTCGGTCACAACCACATTGCACAGTACCTGCTGACCAAAGGTGGCACTGTCGTAGTCCGCAACTGCCACACCATTGACACCCATGAGATGAAATGGTCCATCGGTCGTGGGGATGCCTTCGTGTACAAGTCGCTGAAAGTGGAGCGTCCTGGGGCAGGCGTGATTGACAATGCCTACATCCCAGAGTGGGAGAGTTAGTGAGGAGCCACATGGAGCTACTCAGCTATGAAAAGAACCATTCGGTAGTCATGCGTGAGATGAAGCACGCAAATGTTTGGCGAAGTCTTCCACATTTCCCATCTGTTTCAGAGGTAGAGAGCTGAGACCAAAAAGCCGGAGCTGAGAGAGAGAGAGAGAGAGAGAGACTCTGAGAGAGAGTGGGCCGGTCTCACTCAAGGTGTCTTATAGCCGCTAGCCAAAGAGTTGCGCAAACACGGATGGGAGATGTCTAAAAAGGTGCTGTGACAGAAGCCATTGGTGTTCGGAGTTGTTTGAAGCGCACCCAAATGGGGAACATATTGTTCCAAGGTCTGTCAGCAGCCATGAAGCTTAGCTAGGCTCAAACTGCTCAAGTCATCATGAATAGCAGATGCAAAGGGTCAGAAGCCAAAAGCTCATATCAAGAGTAGTCCTCACAAATGTTTCACTGTTCAACAAGTCACAACCAAGTAAGCAAGCTCTCCTGTCAATTGATATTCACATTCTTCCGCATGTCTTCTGGCGCGAGTGTTTGGAGTTGCGACTCATGCTAGCAGTCTGGAGATTGAAGCGTGGTAAACAAATGAGTAGAAAGAAGTGTTCTGCTGAGGTGCTCCATTCTGACAAATGGCCAGTTCGACACACGTGTGTGAGTCACTTTTCTCGGATGTGGCAAAAAATTAAAAAAATACATTGCTGTGGTTCACAGGACACGTTCGTTTCAATTTTCAGAGATGGCCAGGTGCTTTCCAGTGTGCGAAGGGCGGTCAGCTGGAAGACTTCTTCCAGTCCCAGTGTCCTGGACAAGTTTGGACTGGTCGAAAACGAAAGCCACAGAAACGCACAAAAACAACCAGTGCAATGTAAATGCCTCCCCTGAGGGTCCCTGGGAATTCTTAAATGAAATGTAGGGAGCTGGAGGCCATTGCTAGTACTGTAGGTTGGAGGCCATCGCTACTAGGTTGGAGGCCATCGCTATTAGGTGGGAGGCCATCGCTACTAGGTTGGAGGCCATTGCTATTAGGTTGGAGGCCATCGCTTTTAGGTGGAGGCCATTGCCA